GCTTATACTGATAGTAACATTATTATATTTATTTATTTTAATAAACCAGATGCAAACGTGTCCTATGGGAATGATCATGGAGGTATTATAAATACTCCTTGGAATGATAAATTCACTTTCATAACCATTGATGCATTCATTATGGGAAATGGTGTCAACCAAGGAGGCATTATTATATTTCTTGTTAAAGCGTCCATGGAATTATACGCACTAGTGTACATTAGGCCTACGACTTGTTTATTTGCAAATGATACGTTCGACATTAATGTCGATATGTGTTTTTTGAGGTGTTATAAATTGATTTGGTATGTGTTCTCGTTTGATTCTGGAGTATAGTATTTTTGGCCTGTCGTTGGGCTATGTAGACACCTTGAGCATAAAATAATTACATTCCAACATCAAACGATTCTATAATTCACTAGAGCAATACAATGGTCATCATAGATGCATTTTCCAAATGTACAATTTTAGTTGACATTAATCCGGAAAGATCCGCTTCACTTGCTCCTATAAATACGGCGACCGCATTAGTAATTGTACCAGTAGAACGCTGACTTACCACAAGCTTGCTAGGCCATCTGCTTTATTTCCTCACTGCCTAGGCCTAAGATAGAGAAAGACAACATGCCTATATGTTGCCTAGAAGAAATTGAATACCAATACATAGGCCTACGTTCAAAGGTGTTGTCGGTATTGGAAGGTCTAAATGCCAGGGTACCCAGTGAAGAAGTAAACGACGTAATGACCAGAATTCGTAAGCTGACGCAATTTCAGAATACTCCTAATACTGTCTCTTATACACATCTAGATGTGTATAAGAGACAGGTATTAGGTCATACAATAGTTCTATTACATTAAAATAAAGGTGTCAATAATTTCTTTGAAATGATTGCTCATGTATTTCGTCGCAGCGGTAAGCAAGCACACAACCTGAACCAAAACAAAACAAGGTAAAAAATAAACTAAAGCTGACCAACACGATTTACGATCATTTAACTTCTTTTCAAACTTTTACACCAAAGATCGAAAGTAACATACTAATATTTGTGGCTGTACAGTATATTCAACCGCACACACAACGAATGAAAAAATATTATATAATAAAAGATGAGAGATTTATCTATCATTTGATTAAAAACAAATATGAACGCTAAAAAAATACAGGTTATCCAGTGGCGTCGGGAGCCAGTAAGGGCCCCGGGGCAACATCTCACATTCCCCCCCCCCCTTCACTTGGGACCCCCACTCGGCCGCTCCCCAAATTAAGTCTCAAACCCATATACATGAATATGATTCCATGTGATTATTTTTTTGCAATGTAGATGTATCAGAATAATCTGATGAATAAACGAGAGATTTCAAGACGGTGAAGCACCTATGGATTGAGGGGGGTGGGGAATCTGGTTTGGAACGGGAGAGCATTGGGTGGACTATTCCCCTGGGGGGATTATTCACCTAGTAATAAAAATACAGAAAGACTGAGAAAGACGCCCATATAAACCATAATGTAGAGTTTGTTCTGAGAACAAAAGTTTTCATCCTGTCTCGGTGCGCCCCCCCCCCCAGTAGACCCAGGCCCCGGGGGGCAGCGATCCCCCTGAACCCCCACTCGACGCCACTGTGTGTGACCGGAAATGATCCGCAGTCAGTTGATTGTTACCATGCGCCAGTGATGTTGGAGTACGTCAGCAAGATGAAACTTATTTATGTAATGCATGAATAAAGTTCGGGGTTTGTCGGGTAGTGAAATGATTATTGTACATTTTAAGTGCTTCCTCCATGCATAAGTTTAAGCTAAATTACGGTGATTAATTAGCGAAGATATGGAGAAGTTCCCTCTTTCCAAGAGAGGATGCAAATGATTTCTGAAAATGAGTACGGTACCGTACGCCGCGGTACTCATTTTCACAAAAGAATACACACAACTGGTTAGTATGCAAATGTTACATGAACACCTGGGAAGGAAGGCGCAATCACGTTCTGTTGCTTAGCAAATT